TTAAGGAAATATTAGGTTTGTTTAAAAAAATAAAACCAGTTGATTAAAATTTACAAAATGAACTATACATCGACATATATTATTTTTGTGAAGGCTAGATCTCTCTCTCAATCTTCAGCTATCTCCCGATCTCAGCTCTCTCTCGATCTCTGTAACACCCGTGTTCTGGAAAATAATAGAAGACTTGAGTGTGTATAAGAATTAGGGAGGAGTTGGTTTAACTCCGGTTGATTTCCTAACTGGTCGACTTGTTAATTGAATCAAAGAAGGTTTAATTAATGTTGGTTTAGGTAAATCCTGGTTTAATCAGAATTAAACCAAAAACCCTAGTTTTATAAAGAACGCTTCTTCTCTTTTTGTTTTGTCGCTATTGTTTCTGAGTTTTGAGTTTGAGAAAAAGAGAAAGAGAAGTTCACTTGTGAGAAGGAGAGAGTTAGCTTTGCTTTAGTGTATAAGGCAAAAGAAGCAGACTCGTCACGTTTTGGTAGGTTTGTTCTTAAGGCGTGTACGTTGATTCTCCTTTTTACAGAAGTGAATTCCGATTAAAACACCGTACGTTATATGCAGTTTTGTGAGACGCTTCTTCTCTGTTGCGAACTGGGATCAGCGGAGTTTGTAAGTGCGATCGTGGTTTCATCGTTTCTCTGATCGGCACCAAAGTTAGTGGGAATCTTCGGGACGTCTGGTTCTTGCTTTCCACCGAAGGGATTAAGGAGTTAACGGTTGGTTTATTTTTTAGGGCTTCGTTTCTGCGGCTGTAGTTTTTCTGCTGTTTCTGTCCAATTGATTTTTAGAGATTTTGTTTGTGTGGATTGTTGTAGGGTGTTGTTTGGCTGTTACAGTCGCGAGGAGAGTCTTTCCTGTTTGTTTTTGTTATTCAAATTACCTTGTTAAGGTGAGTGCATGACCATGAGCTTATCTAAGCGATTGAGATTGAGTGACTTGTTTTGTGATAATTTGTAGGTGAATTGGAAGTGTTATTGGATGTTTAGCTTGCTGGATGGTTTGTTTATGTTATATATGTGGGTGTTATCTCATTGCTTGTGTGTATAGCTCGTAGATGGGAGGATCGCCCTCACTAAGTATTTATGAAATACTAATGCATCTCTTTCTTTGATGCAGTTAAAAGTAAAGTGTGATCCGTGGAATCATGGCGAGGAGAGGAGGATGATCTAGGCGCTCATTGGTGTTTTAGATTATTGTTGGATTTTTTAGGGTGTTAGAATGAAATTTAGAAACATGTTAGGATGATCATGTTTTGGAATAATGTTTGGTTGAACTTGCTGGTTTAATGGAATTGTTTTATTGGATTTTTGGTTACGTCTTACGCTGGTTAATATTGTTGGTTTACTTTAATGAGATTGCTTGGTTTAATTGACTTAAATTATTATGGCCGGTTTAGCTGGTTTGAATTAATTGGGTTAATCCGGTTTGCATGTTTAAAAGAAAAAAAACGGGATGGGTTCTTTCAATCTCAGCTGTCTCACGTGATTCTTCACACTCAAGTTACTTCATCCTAACTGATTATTTTATATCTCTCCAGTTTTTTGTGATCTAGGTCTATTCTTTCATAAAATATGTAAATTTTAAGAAAATTATCCATAATTACGTAAATTATTTTGATCTCGGTATTTGTTTTTTCATGTATATAATAAAATGGAAGAAGAGAAAATTCAGTTGAATAATATACAAAAGCCGAAGAATTACAAGTTGTTCAAGTCTTGGAGCAAAAGAAAATAATTCAACATCGATTTGATTTGAAACAAAACGTATGTTTATGAAGATGGAGAAGCATTCCACTCTGAAAATGTAGTTGTTCAAGAAATGGAGAAAGCAAAAAAAGTTCAACATATATTTGATTTGAACGAAACATATCTTTATGAAGATGGAGAAGAGTTTCAGTCCAGAAATGGAGTTTTTCAAGAAATGAAGACGAAGTCGTAAGAGATATGCTTAGAATTTATATGCCATAATATTTTAAACGAAAAATAACACACTTGAGACATAAGATTTGTGTGTTGTGCCTCTCATTGATTTCTTGGTGAACAGTACGAAATTTTGTAAGAGTATCTTTGTAGAATAATGTCTCTCATGACTGTGTCCTTGTTAGTTTGTTGTTTTTCGGTTAATAAGGTGAATTTTTGGAACTGAACCACATTTGAATTATTCAAGTTGTTGTTCTATTTTTTCTCTGCTTTAGTTGGTTCTAAAGCTATTCGATTTCGTCATAATATGCAAAAAAAATACCTGCATTTCTCAGAAAATATGTTTGGTTTGCATCATTAGAATTCTCACTGGAGATTCGAAAATGAATGCTGCAAGTGCGTTGGTTCTACCTTAGATTGAATAAGGTTGTGTTGAGACCAACATCTTGGTCTCTACGCAGAAGAGAAATGACGTAGTTGAATTACCAAAACGGAAGCACTTCCGAGAAGTGACGTGAATATTATTAAGCCTCTTTTCTCAAGAAATGACGTAGTTGAATTACGAATTACCTTGTAAATCTTCGCATTTATAAAATAGACGTCTGTATCGTAACCTCCAGCTTTGTATTTGATCAAATGTTTTGGTTTCAATGTCTGCATATCCAAAATAATTCAAAAGTGAACCAGTTTGGTTTTGACAAAACCTGCAACTTGGTTTTGATTTTGGTTTGAACCTGCAATTTTCTTTTAGTTTGAGAAACCTGTAGTCTCGTTAGAATCAAGACTTCTTGTCTCTTGCTATTATTTTTGCAAACCAAAATATATTAAACGTGACCTGCAGTTCTCTCTTTATGCGAAACAAGTAATATTTATTTTGCAAATGCAGTCTCATTACTTAATCTTTAAGCTAATTTCAAACACATATAACAGAGCGAACACAAAGAGCTTCAAAGAGAAGAGCACAGAGCATGAACACGATATAAACAAATAACAAATAATGCTAAAACAGAAGGCTAATAATAAATAATGCTAAAACAGAGGAAATCCACCTGTACTAAACGTTTAATGCTCAAATAGAACAGAGAAAAGTTATAAAACTGAGCATGGAAAAAAACTAGCAACTAGATATACGTACGGACACTACAAACATCTCCCTAAGAAGCAACGAAGATGTCAAGATCAGATTCAGCATCAAGTCATTTTGAATCACTTGGATCACCCATATCATATACATCTCTAGGCTGATCATGAACTGCGATATTCAATTCTACATCGCAAGGATCTTTCACATAATACACCATTTGACCTCAGACGCCAACATATATTGTTCATCTTCCTCATTATCCCTAGCATGTAACAAACATAAAAAATTTACCATATGATGACCATATGCGTCCATTTTATATCCTCTTTTCGTACGTGTGTCAGCCCACTTGCACTTGAATAAAACAACTTTTAAAACCTCAAAGTAGTTTAGCTCAATAACTTCAAGAAGATTTCCATAATGTGGTACAATTCCCGTTCTGCTGGCATAACTCATGGTCTCAGCAGCAATATAAACATTATTATTTTGAGTTTTCAGGTCGACATCTCTATTCGTTGACCGAAATTTGAAACCATTGACATATAAGCTGTATACTTCAGAACATTTTCAAATGGACCCAAAGCCAAGCATCATAAATCATCAGTTATCTCGTCTAACCCATTTAGCTATACTTTCTGTTTGAACCATCTTGCAAAATTAAGATCAAATTAAGATCCACAGTTCATTTTTATACTTCCTAGAACAATTTGTAAAACTTATATGTTAGATGACTTTAATCAAACATAAAGAAAATAATCTATTATAGAATGATAGAAACTTACTCGCGTAAGGGATCTAGTAGTTGACAATTGACCAATATGTGTCGATGTATTTGCAGCCTCTCTAAATGATTAAGAGTATAAACCTGTTTCGCTCCAACAAATCTTCCATGTTTGGAAAAATAAGTGGAAGTTCAGAATTTATTCTTGTGCTAGTATCCACTAGAGATCAATCATCAACACAGCCCATCCGAGTAAACCGTGTTTCTATATCATTGATATACATTGAGCAAAATGTTACACATTCATCAGCTAAATATTGCTCACATATAGAACCTTCAGGCTTAGCACGATTCAGAACATATGATTTGAAGCAGAGGCGGAGGCAGTGAAGGGGGACCAGGGTCAGTTGACCCTGATGAAATTTTGAAAACTAATTGAATGTATATGTAAAAAAAATTTTGACCCTTACCAAATAAAATAATTGACCCATATAAAATTTTGCCCAATGCTAATTGACCCTTGTGAACTTTAAAACGTACAGGGCTTTAAGCCCAATAAATTTTCTTTTAAGTAAAAATAATATTGTTAAGTCCATCTAATTTGTTTGTCTATTATTAACCTAAAAACAAAAACGGTTTAGCTTCTTCTTCTTTTTTGCAATTCAACTGATCGTGACTATATGAGCTTTCTTCTTCTTTGTTCCAAAATTCAAGAGTTTTAAGAGTAAAATTTCAGGTATTTAACATAATTTTCTGTAGACTAGATTCTAATTTTAAAAATAAATTCCTTAGCTATTGTCTATTGACCTATAACCTATTGTGTGATTTAGTTTTGTTACTGCTTTTTTTTTGTCGTTGTTAATTTATTAGAAAAATCATGAATTCATGATGATATTGCTAGTTGCGTTAGTGACTTTGTTATTTGAATAAATTGATCATACTAGTCTAATTGTTAATCTATAGTGACTAAATTGCTAGTTTGGTCATTTTTCACCACTTACCAATTACGTAACTGATTAATTTACTACTCTACTGCTGGCCTGCTGCCATGAATCGATTAGGTGATTATAAAATCTAGTATTGTATATGTTAGTTAGTTAGTGCCTTAGTGCATTAATCAAAGTGTGTTTCATGTTATGTGTGTGTATTAAACATTATTTGATTTTTAAAGATCACCGAAGAACACATAGCTTAGAATTATTTTACTTGTTGATTTAAATTTCTTATAATATATGATTTTAATTTTTGTGTTTAGGTAAAGCTAAAAATTATGGATCGCTTTGTGACAAGGGATACGCCACTATCTAATATTGACTTGGATGATTTGCCATGGGATCCGGCGAAGAGAAAAAATATTCTGAGCTATCATCCTAATCAAAGAGATGAAGTACGACGCAAATATTTGAGTAGAGGACCTTGTCAACCTCGTGGTCACAATTTTAAAAAAACAGCAATTGGAGGAGTGTTACGACGTTTTAATCCAAAGTGGTTTGATAAGTATGGCGATTGGTTGGAATATAGTGTGGAGAAAGATAAAGCTTTTTGCTTGTGTTGTTATTTATTCAGAGATCAAGCACAAAATCAAGGTGGGAGTGATTGCTTTGTATCAACTGGTTTTTGTGGTTGGAATAAGGGGTTGGATCAACATGTGGGTTCAGATGTGAATAGTTTTCACAATAATGCCAAAAGGAAATGTGAGTATTTGATGAGACAAGGTCAGTCTATCAAACATTCTCTCCATAAACAAAGCAATGTTGTGAAGAATGATTACCGAATTCGACTTAATGCTTCCATTGATGTTTCTAGACATTTGTTACATCAAGGATTACCGTTTCGTGGTCACGACGAATCAGATGAGTCAGTCAATAGAGGTAATTTCTTAGAGCTCCTGAAATATACTGCTGGTCAGAATGAGAGTGTAAGAAAAGTTGTATTGAATAATGCTCCTAAAAACAATCAGATGACATCTCCACCCATTCAAAAGGACATTGTACATTGCTTTTCGGAAGAGGTTACTAAATCTATTATTGAAGAAATGGATAACGATGTCTTTGGTTTGCTCGTAGATGAATCTGCTGATGTATCAGACAAAGAGCAAATGGCAGTGGTTTTTCGCTTTGTTGATAAGTATGGGTTAGTCAAAGAAAGATTTGTTGGCATTATTCACGTGAAGGAGACATCTTCTATATCTTTGAAGTATGCTATTGATTCTTTGTTTGCGAAATATGGATTGAGTTTGAAACAGGTGAGAGGTCAAGGGTATGATGGAGCTAGTAATATGAAAGGAGAATTCAATGGACTAAGATCATTGATTTTGAAAGAAAGCAGCTCAGCTTACTATGTGCATTGTTTTGCTCATCAACTTCAGCTAGTTGTCATGGCAGTAGGAAAAAAACATTTTGAAGTTGGAGAATTTTTTGACATGATTTCTTTTTTGATGAATGTGGTTGGAGCTTCTTGCAAGAGAAAAGACCTTATACGGGAAAACTACAGAAAAATAGTGGAAGAAGGGATTAGCAATGGTGAAATTAAGACTGGAACTGGGCTGAATCAAGAAATTTCCCTTCAAAGACCTGGAAATACTCGTTGGGGTTCACATTACAAGACTTTGTTACGACTTGTTGAGTTGTTTTCTTTTGTAGTTAAAGTTCTCGAGTATATCCAGGATGAGGGCACAGACTCCACCAAAAGACAACAAGCATATGGTATTCTCAAGTATTTTCACACTTTTGATTTTGTTTTCTATCTACACTTGATGCTGTTTGTTCTGGGTCTCACTGATAGCTTATCAAAGGCTTTACAAAGAAAAGATCAAGATATCTTGAATGCTATTTCTTTGGTGGAATCCACTAAAAGTCAGTTGCAAAAGCTTAGAGATGATGGATGGGGTACTTTTATGGCTGAAGTTAGTTCTTTTTGTGAGAAAAATGACATTGGATTTGTCATAGTGGAAGAAGAATTTGTTGACTCAAGAAGACCAAGGAAAAAAACCGGCATAACAACCTTGCATCACTATAAGGTAGATTGTTTCTACAATGTCCTAGATATGCAACTTCAAGAGTTTAATGATCGTTTCGATGAGGTAAATTCAGAACTACTTGTTTGCATGTCTTCCTTGAGTCCGATAGATTCTTTTCGACAGTTTGATAAGTCATTACTCATGAGATTGGCTGAGTTTTATCCCGATGATTTTAGCCCTATGGAGCGTAAATCTCTTGATCTTCAACTTGAGATCTATCTTGATAATGTGAAAAGAGATGAAAGGTTTGTAGATTTAAAGAGTCTTGGTGATCTTGCTCGTGTGATGGTGGAGACAAGAAAACATCTTTCACATCCTTTGGTATATCGGCTTCTGAAGTTATCTTTGATTGTTCCTGTTGCGACTGCAACCGTCGAAAGATGTTTCTCTGCAATGACCTTTGTGAAGACGACTTTGCGTAATCGTATTGGTGATGTATTTTTAAGTGATTGTCTAGTTTGTTTTATCGAAAAGCAGGTACTAAACACTATTACAAACGAATCAGTGATAAAACGATTCCAAGACATGAGTGAGCGTCGGGTTCATCTTTAAAATATGTAATTGTAATGAAATATTTATGCTTTTAATTATATTTATGTATTTTTGGTTTGAAATTTTTTTTGACCCCGGTAAATAGATTTTCTAGCTCCGCCACTGATTTGAAGTGTCGTAGAGTCCTGCAGATATTTTAAATAAGTATTTTTCAAGCTAGCTGTGTATATAAATACAAACATACATTGTAAAAAAAATTACCTCTCGATGGGATACATCCAACAAAATGGAACAGGCCTACCAAACTTTGCCTATTTGGTGAGATGTACTATTAAATGTACCATTACTAAGAAAAAGGAGGAAAAAACATCCCCATATGACAGAAAGTGACAACAATATGGTCTTATAGTTTGTCAAGCTCATCAATATCGAGGACTTTTGCAGATATATCTTTAAAAAATTGATAAACCTCGACAATGGCTGATGTCACAACTATTGGAAGTATAATCCGAATAGCGACTGAAAATAAATCCCTCATTATCACGTGAGAATCATGGCTTTTTAAGATAAATCCCTCATTATCACGTGAAAATAAAATAAATCCCTCATTTTTACGTGAAAATAAATCCCTCATTATTACTAACTTTCGACTTTTAACATCAACACAGCTTGATAAGTTATAAGCATAACCATCAGAGAGTTGTACATTTTTTAGGACACTTCAAAAAATGTCTTTCCCATCATTGTTCAGAGTAAAACACGCTGCAGGATACTTCCCATCATCATCAGGCCATAAATCAGAATGTATACCAAGCTCACGAAAATCTTTTCTTGCGTTTAGATTATCTTTCGATTTGTTTTTGTCATCCAATAATGTGTAGACTAAATTGTCAAATATACTTTTCTCTATAAGAATGACATCCAAATTATGCCGCAACATAATAAATACCCAATAAGGCAACTCAAAAAATATACTCTTTTTCTTCCACTGTTGAGTACTAGATCTTCTAGAATGATTTTGATCTCTCTTTGTTCCAACTCCAACTAAATCATTCTTCTTACCAAGAGTAACATTAACTTTTTCTAATTGATAAACAGTTGTAGTACCTGATAGCGTGGCTGGTGGTGATCTGGTTTCAATCTTTCCATCAAAATCTGTAATATTTTGACGAAAATCGTGATCTTCAAGAAGAAAACGACGATGACCCATAAAACAATTTTTTTCCATGGATTAAACGTTGTCTGGTGCCATCAAAATTGCAGCTTGGATAAGCTGATGTTGTATATATATTCCAACCCGACAAATTACCAAGACTAGGAAAATAACTAATTGTCCACATGATGGCTGCTCGCATGTCAAATGTTTGTTTTGTGGAAGCATCTACCGTCTTAACCCCATCAAACCATAACTCCTTGATAAGTGGCTGCAAATAGACATCAATATCATTATCAGACATGTGTTTTCCAGGGATAACTATAGAGAGGATCATTAATGTCTGCTTCATTGCCATCCAAGGTGGCAAATTATAAGGAAATAATATCACTAGCCATATGCTATAACTACTACTCATTGTACCAAATGGATTTAAACCGTTAGTGAATAAGCGTTGATGACATGAATACGTGTTGCATGCCATCTCATGTGGGTAGCGGTTTCTGATGACATGAATAAGCGTTCCAATCTCGACTTTAGAGGAAAATAATGCAAAACTTTTGAAAGAGTTTTGTTTTTTCTGTTCTCTGACTCAGATACCGTACTCTCTGCAGAAATTATTTTTTTTTTTCCACGAGAAGCTGCACAAACTTTACAAGTCTCCTTTTTTTGCATCTGCCTCCCAAAACAACATACAATCATTCGGAAGTGCATGAATGGACTCGTAAGTCAATCCTAATTTGGGAATAAATTTCTTCATGTCATTAAATGAATTTGGCAGCCTGGCATGTGTAAATGCTTCTTTCAGCAAATCAAGCACCATAGATATTCCCTTGTCACTTATCCCACACATGCATTTGATATGGTACAATTTCAATATAAATGACAACTTTGTGAATTTTTTGCATCCATTATATAGCTCTTCAGTAAAATCAGCAAGCAACTCATCAAAATCTTCAGTGTCCATAGGTTCCTCACACGATCGAGCTGCACTTCCGTCGTACATATTAGTACCAATACCAGGAAAAAGATCAGCCAAGAGATTCAAAGTTGAATCCAATTCAACTTGAGCAAAATTATCAGTAGGCACTCTTACACTTTCTGTAACAGATATTTTCTCTCCATGTAGAACCCAAGTTGTGTAAGAACTCAAAAAACCAAAGCACATCAAATCACCTTCAATATCTTCTCTTGACTTAAATTTGGATAGAGAACAACGATTACATGGACATTTCATCGAAGTTGCAGTTGATTTACTAAATGCAAAATCCAAGAAATTTTTATCCCCTGAGATGTAATCTTGAGATAACCGTCGTTTTATATCCATGACTTATCCATCGCAACCTGAAAACCATAAATTCAAAAAATAAAGATTAAATCCTATACTATAATTTGATAATCATAAGATGTAAAGGAAAAAAAAGTCAATAGTGAGAAGTCACGTATTTCACTTTTAGTCAAGAGAATTTCACATAAAACCAAATCTAAAAACTATCTTTGCTTAACAATATGCAACGTGAAAGATCGATACAAGTTTTTTTTTTATGTTAAGCCTTTTCATTTGATCTACTATCTCTCTCTGAACAAAAGAAATCTATTATCCTTCCAAGTCCGAAGTCATGGTACTTCTTAAAAATCTTGAGCTAGCTTATCAACATTAGTATTATCATAGTAATTAAAAGAACTACAACAAATACTATCATCAAAGAACAACACACGATCGTATCATCACAATCGTAAACAACAACAACATAAGTAAACTAACAACAACAACAACAACTGTTACATACGTTCTGTTTCAAGAAAAAAAACAACAGTAACATACGATCCTATCATCAAACAGCAACACACGTTCGTATCATCACAATCGTAAACAACAACAACATAAGTAAATTAACAACAACAGCTACATACGTTCTGTTTCAAAAAAAAAAAAACAACAACATACGAAACTTGTAGGTTCAAACCTAAATTCTTCTTTATTTCCTTACCGAAATCAAAACCAAGTTGCAGGTTTTGTCAAAGCCAAACTGGTTCACTTTTGAATTATTTCAGATATTGCAGACACAAAACATTTGATCAAATACAAAGCTGTAGGTTACGATACAGACATCTAGTTTATAAATGCGAAGATCTACAAGGTAATTTGTAATTCAACTATGTCATTTCTTGAGAAAAGAGGCTTGATAACATTCATGTCACTTCTCGAAAGTGCTTCGTATATTACATAACGTCACCATCATAAGAGACCGAAAGATTGAATTCATCTACACTAAAATACACTAAAAAGGAGAAATTAAATGTGTCCATCGATTGATTATTATATCATTGATTTCTTATAAAACCTACATTTCTTATAAAACCTACCTCCATTTCTGCCTCCTCAATGCAAAAGGTAGATGCTGTTGCTTGCCGACCAGAAAATAAGGGTGGTTAATCTCACGTGCAAGCTTCCTTTAACAATCACAATATTGGTTGCTCTCAAGTGGTCAGGATAAGATCAAAAGGATCCAATCTGTGTTTAAAATCCAAGAGATAGAGAGATACAAATAGCTAGCTATGTCTAATTCTGTGTCGATGATGAACCTAATTATTAGATTGATCGATTTTGTTTCTAATTAATTAGCTTGTGTTTTTTTATAAAAATAATATAATTTAATTTAACATCAATTTATAATTGATATTAGTGTTGTATCGTTTATCTAATTTATCAGAAAACAATACATACATCAGTTATCTAAATGATGCAAATATATATTTTATATCAATTTAGTAAAATTGATATAATCTAATAAAAAATGAATCAGTTTTATATAATTGATGTAAATTAATTAATTATAATATCAGTTAATATAATTGAGGTTACAATATATTTATTTGCTTCACTTATTAAAAAGTTATTTATAGTGCTACAAGATTGTCCAATGGGAATGTATGACAAAAGGGGATGTATGTCTAAGGGAGATGTACGTCTAAGGGAGATGTTTCCTTAGTGATTAAGTGATACAATAATCACATGTTTAAAACATATTTCATAACACTCCCCCTTGATTAATCATTACTGTATATATGCAGTATACTACCTCGTTATCATGAAAAACCCCGTTTGGGATAAAAAAACCATGTTGAGGGAAAAGGAGCGCAGTAACGCTCCCCCTAGAAAATATATATCGTCTTTCTTCATACGTTTCATACACAATGCATTGCGATACTTTGAATATACTTCTTGAATGTCGTGGTGGGAAGTGACTTGAATGGATGTATTGATATTTAACTTCCGTCTTTTCTTTCATATGAGTTTTTGTATCATCAATCTCTTTTTGAGTTCTAATTGTGGTCAGGTCATCAACATATACAACAATGATCACTAATCCTAAAAAAAACTTCTTAATAAACACACAAGGGCATATCGCATTGTTGATGTATTTTTTACTCAACAAGTCTTCACTCAAGCGATTATACCACATATGTCCGGACTGCTATAATCCGTAAAGTGATTGTTGTAGTTTGACCGAACAAATTTTGTTAGATGCTTCCGGCATTGTTGTTTTTTCTGGGATCTTTAATCCTTTTTATATGGTTCTTTCGGAACCTTTTCATATATGTCTTTTAGACATTTTTCATTACACGGTTCTTCTCGAACATTTACTCCCAATTTCTTTCTCTTTCGGGGGTTTTTTTTTTTTAATTTTTTTGATCCAATTGGCTTCCCGTGCTTTAGTTGAACCGGTTCATTTGCTCTATTTACATCAACATGTTCTTCGAGAACGTTTATCATTGATGGAGCGTTAGCAGCGGGGATATAGGATTTCGTCACACTTATTATATATGTGAATACATCAGATAACTAGTTTGCCAAACTTTATAAGTGTGCGATATTTCCTTTTT